GGTTAAGCTGTGAGCTGAGGTGATGTGGGTCACATCCTACTGATGACCTCCTTTTTGCATGTTTGGCCAGCTGTGTTCATGTGACAAAGTCAGAGAGATATTTAATAAAGCACTGACCCCAAAAGAGCAGAACCTTGCTTTGGCTGTGGTTGAACTGCACACTGCCTTTCTCCTGGATGTCTTCTTTCACAGGACATTATGTTGTACTTTCATATCACACTCTGCTTGTTTGAAGCAGGGAGTTGGAGGAGAAAATCTTCTGAAATCAGAGGATTTGGAAAACAGCAGAAAAAGTATATTGCCATGAAGATGCATCAACTTCATTTTTCAAGATTTGTCACTGGAAATATGAGCTTCTTTTATTTCTGTACAATATCATCAGGACTTTGTACTATCTCTGAGCCCTGTGGATTTAACCTTTTTTGTTTGCAAGCCAGCAAGGTTTACACTTTCTATGTATAACATTTAATTTTTCTCCTCTTTTAGAAATGTGTCAACAGGCAAAAATATACTCAAGCATTCCAGTGACAAGCACAATTGCTGGATATAATCAAGTGTATCTGTCAGCATTCAAGGATGAAAGTTTGTACTTTTTGTAAGTGTACCTGGCGGCACTTTCTGTGCAGTAAGTGCACACATGTGCACATATCTATTTATTTACACACGTAGTTATATTACATTCTTACAGGAGCAAATATAATTTTTGTTTCAGCAAACAAACAACCAGACACATCAGATTTCACCAGGATTTGTTTCTTTTTCCTTTAAAGCAGGAAGAAACCATCTGTTTTTTTCTACAGGATTTCAGTTTCCAGAACTCATATGTCTGTGTATAATAGACGTACATATTTGTACACATAAAGAAAAAAAAAGGAGAGTGAAAACTTGAAATTTTGAGGTTGTTCAAGAGGAGCCAATTCTGTGATACTTTCAAAAATGACTTGTGATTTACAGCTTTATTTTGCAAAATTCCATCTTGGCTCAGTGAGCTTAATTCTTCTTTATAACGTAAATAAAAATTTTATTTAAAGTGAGTATAAATGCAAATTAGGGCTATTTTGGGACCTTCTTGCACATGATTTAGAGAAGTGTAAAGGGATTTTCATTTAAATGAGGGTATATTGCAGTATTGTTGAGAGAGAGAGGCCCATGAAGTTTCAGCTCATCCTTCACCTGTGCAGTGTCAGCAGTGCGGGTCTGCCTGGCTCCAGCATGTTCACACGCACAAACACAGATATAAACAGACACAGACAGACGCACTCCCAGATACACTTCTGGTGGCAGAGAATCAAAGCCTCGATCAACACAGTTGCAGCAGTACGTGGTGGAGCTGCATTACAAAGGGGTATGTAAGGCATGATATTGCTAACAGGTGTTTTGGGGCACCCCAGCATGGAGATGTTGCTCAGAAGCACTACGCTGTACGAAGAGCCGTTATTACTATTCTAGAGAATGTGCTTACAGAATCAGAATATTTTATTTCAACGTTTTATTTTTACTATTTATTTATTGCTTGTATTGCCATAGCAACTAGCAGCTCAGCCATGGTTGAAACCCCCACTCCACTAGGAACTGCACAAACAAGAAGAGCAGACGAGGAGCTCATGTTTGAATTAATAATGTCTTCTTAATTATAAAGGATCTCTGAGGTTGCATATGCCATTGCAGACAATAAATGTAAACTAAGTTCCAATGTAGACATTGGAAGCCCTCAATGCCCTCAATGGCGACTTTAATGGCCTCTGAAACTCCTTGCAGAAATGCTGACATTATCAGCAGAGCTTAAACCATGCCCTGAAGAAAATAAATCATAGAATCATACTATCCCAGAATGGCTTACCTTGGAAGAGACCTCAAAGCTCACCCAGTCCTACCCCATGCCATGGGCAGGGCTGCCACCCAGCAGCTCAGCTGCCCAGGACCCCATCCAAAATGGCCTTGAGTGCCTCCAAGGGTGGGGTACCACAGCTTCTCTGGGCAGCTGTGCCAGTGCTTCACTGCCCTCTGAGTAGAGAATTTCTTCCTAACACCTAATCTAAAATCTAGGCTCCATCAAGCCGAGCCAGGGACCTCACGCCACAGCACCTCCATCTCTCTGCTCCAGCCATCCATGGTCTGCTCATGTGGAGAGCTGCACCATGCTCCTTGGTACAGATTTCAGGCTTTCATGAATCTAGGATCTGGAAATATGTCTTTCCCCATTATTGTGCTCTTGACTTGAGAGAACTTTCATATTTGTGAAGAACAAAATCTGTCAGCCCTGCAATAAGGATCTCTCAGCCTATGACTCCCGTGGGGAAGTGCTATCGAGAGGATCATGATTACACAGCACAAAGACCTTCTCAAATTCTCTTACATTTCAGAGAATATTGATTCCTAGCATGGTATTGAGCTGTGCAGTATGAACGCTGTTTTACATTCCAGAATGTTAGCTCTGTTAGTGCCTTGAAATCTTCCTTCAGTTTTAACTGCCCTATGAGAAGATGATTAACTCATTCCCTGCATTCAGTTTCTCTGTATTTCAGTTTTCTATTTATTTTCTTTCCTTTGTTTCCAATTTTTTCTTCTGCAACATGTTCTCAGAACTCACTGCCTGAATGAAGACACAATTTATTAAGTCAGTTTAATGCAGGGAGTTTGCATGATTTTTATGATTTCAAAACAAAGCAACCCAACATGCAACCCAACCAATTAAACACACCATACAAATGATGTGTGGCTCTCATAGCTCTTGCAGCAGTGAGAAGGGCCCTGAGTAAAACACATTTCTTCATGCTTAAATGCTGTAAGGATCTTTGTAGGGACGCCCTCTGCTTTTCCAAAGGCACTGTGCTCATGGGGAATGCATTCCTATCTAATGGTTTAATGCTGGTAGTCTACTGCCTCTGCCCCTTTTCTCTACACACTAAATTGGTGATAAATCCTCCTGGTCACCCTGTAAAGTAGAAGATATAACTGAAAAATAATGTTTCAATCAAAGAAGACCTCCAAAGTCAGGAGTGCTACAATATTGTTGCAGAAGGGTGACTCAGATGGTGTGAAGTCCTGCTGTTTTCATGCAATTTCACTTATCACCCAGGAGAACGGGGAAGGCAGGAGCTTTGCAGGTACACCCTGCATGAGCTGGAGCACCACAGCTTGGCTTTGATCACGGGCATAGGATTTACAACTGGCCAGATTTCACTCTGCACCTGGCTTTCCAGCAGCCACCTCTGCAGGGTACAAGCAACCTGTAGACACCTTTTGAAGTTGGAGAGGGACCCAACCATCCTGTGAAGGCACAGTCACGGAGATTTGCTCATCCTCTTCTCCTTTTTAACAAGGCTTTATAAACAACTTCCTTTGACTTTCTGAGGAGATGTAGGGTTTACTGAAACAGATTGGGCTCCTCCGCTTGAAATTGAGGCCCTTCAGATGCCACCAGGACAATCCTAGTTTCTATTATATCCTAAAAAATATACATATTGGAAAGAACAAATGTCGGTGGAAAACAACCATCACAATGGAAAGAGGGAAAAAACTTTGAGATTTCTTCAATCTCTATTTGGGCAAAATGCTTGTTTCTATGCATGAAACTTTTTAACTCAAACGCCTAGATAATTTGTTATTAGTGGTCAAGCCAATAAGAAACCAATTCAGATTTTATGCTGGAAAATTTCCGAAGTTAAATGACATTTACAGAATAAAAATTTCAAAGTCTCTAATGCTGTCTCTTACTGGTATAAAGTCTTCCTATTCAGCCTGGAGCATCAAGGGCAGATGCCCTCAAGATGAATGTCTCCCCAGAAGTGCAGTAGAGACTTTCAGGCAGGAGAATAGCACTGGTGTGAGCAATTAGGGAGGAAGGAGAGGACAGACTGAAATGCACAGTGCTATTCAGCTCTAATGGGGTGGGATGAACGGAGTTCCCCTTCTCTCAGCTACGTCATGTCTCCATGCCTAGTGACTGACCCTCATGAATAGTTCCAGGGGAACAGCTTCAAATAAAGACTCGGAGGCCCATGTGCTAACCGCTTTAGAGCACAGTTTTTGTAAGATCCCTTCTGTTGTAGACTCAGTTCTGATCTTGGAAAAAAAATGTGCCTGCTGACTGTACCAAGTATGTGGAAGTTTCTTGGAATAATCTGTTACAGAGTTCTGTACCTGAGCCCTCTCCAACCAGCACATGTTGGAGTTTCAGCCATTTTACTTCTTTAGCCTTGCAGGGCTGTTTCTGATGGCTGAGGGATATTTTATAACTGGGCAAAGACCATATCTCATGTCGGATGTTAGGAAAAATTTCTTCTCAGAAGAAGTGGTGAGACAGTGGCACAGGCTGGCCAAGGAGGTGTTGGAGTTATCATCTCTGGAGGTGTTTAAGAAATGTGTGGACGAGGCACTGAGTGACATGGTTAGTAGGCATGGTGGGATAGTTTGTGGGCTAGACGATCCTAGTGGTCTTTTTCAGCCTTAATGGTTCCATGATTATATGATTCTGTCAATATCAGCCTGGTAGTTCTTTGCATGTATCTCCTGGAATCCACTGCATTCTATTCTGAGGCTCCTTCAGCAGGGCTGCATTCTTTCTGTTTTATCTTACAAGAAATAAGCTTTTATTCAGACCCCTGGCTACAGATGAGTAAATTCCCTTCCTCAACAGAAAAGGCAATATAAGTGGCTCTGTTGGTGTTTAGGCACATTCTGTCAGCTTCCTTGCAAGGAATGCTAACTCACCTCTCTTCTGTTTTTGGCCCTGAATGTCTGTTCCTGACAAGTGTGCTGTGGGAATGGGTGTTAAATGTTACTGTCACTTATAGTACATGAAAGATGATAAATACTGTGGAGACAAGCTGTGAAGAATGAAGACAAGAAGCTGATGTTTGGTGTGAATGAAGAGGGGGAAGGCTGTGAACAGTGAAATCACATGCTTAGAGCAAAAGGCTAGGACAGTTTTCTTCACTGTAACGTTATGAATGGAAATAGGTAGGAACGTTATACATAACAAATTTGTAGAAGATGATGTTAGTCAAGAGGGGAGGTGGTGAGAGCCTGGAGGAGTATTTTTGGTTATGAATGAGAATAAAACCCTATGTCTTAAATGTAATGCAAAAAGAGGCAGTCAGAATTTCTCAGAGATTAAGCTAAAGGATATGTTAAGGCTATGGATCTGAGGAGCCAGAGAAGAGGCAGGACAATGGTATTTCCATAGTGACGGAGAAAAGGAAAAAATGTCAGAGAGAAAGATGAAGAGTCCTACTCTGACCATGCCACTTTTAAGCAGATGGCTGAAACATGGAGCAGGTACTTTATTTATTTATTTTGCAGATGAAATTATCTAGAATCTGATTATCTGTATAATTATCTGTAAATGAATTATCTGGAAATGACATGAAAAGAAACAGAAACAAGGCCCAGGTGTAGAAGACTTCTGTAGAAAACTAGAGGGAAGAATGAGGAAAATCCTTTGAAAGATACGCTGAATGTGCAGTTAGAGGGAAAAGAGGAGACTCCAGATACGGATGAGTCAAACAAAGGCCATGGAGGGCAGTTTTTCAAGAGGAAAAGTCTTACAGGCAGGTTAGGGAGTGTGACAAAGTTCTGGCTTTTGGCAGGAATAGCATATGAGGGACTTTGTTAAAAATGTGGTTTTGTCATTGGAGAATGAGACGAAGAAGTAAAGAAAGACTTGAGACAGAACTCAATCAGAAGAGTTTTTTTTCAGACACGAGAAAGGTTTGGGATGGTTGGTAGAGGGTATAGGGGAGTCAAGAGCAGTTTATTTTTAAAAAGACTTCTTTACATGGTGAGGCAGAGAATCCTGAGGAAAGTGAAAATTGGGAAGAATAAAGAAGGAGCAATAGAGTACTGGGTGGATCAAGAGATAAGTTTAGGAGAAACTAATGATGAAATGCTTATTTACTTAGAATGAGTCTTGCAGATTATGTGCTCTACATGTCCTGTAGAAGGTGAAGAGAAATCTGAGTTGGGAAGGATTTTTGAAAATAAATTTCAATTTTCGTTCCAAATAAGCTGGCAAAATTCTGCACAATGAGAGAAGCTGGGTTGGGAAGGGTGAAATGAAAGAGGAAAGGAAAAAGATGATTGAAAAGCTGACTTAAAGATAGCCAAAAGTAGTCAGCTCTGGAGATGTAGAATTCATTTAAAGGTTTAGTTTACTGTTGTTATTATTAATGAGGGATGAAGGAGAACTAAAGGAGGAAGAGAGGAGAAGAGAACAAATTGAGGGTGAAGGGAGTTAACTAGACTGAAGAGTGCAGGACTAGTGGAAACAGGAGTTGGGAATGTGCTGTGGATCTGGGGACAGACCTCGCAACAGGAAAGAGGGAAAATAGAAGTGCAAGTAGAAAAAGGCAAGGTCTGGAGAACTCCTGAGCCTGTGGTAACAGAAGGAATAGAAAAGGTTGAGCAGGAGTTACGGAAGAGCTAAACTGTGGAACTAGGTAAACTGGGGAGACAGATGATTGATTCTTATTTATCAAGACAGAGAAGAGAATTCCCATATTAGGCCATTGACCAGACAGATGGAAAAACCAAGCTGATAGTAACACAGTACTTGAAGAGTACAGAGTATAGAGAATGGGTAAAGAAAGCCGGAGAGAAAGGAAGAGAGAGCAAGCAGTCTAAATTTGTTAGAAACTGTGAAAATGCTTGCAATTTGTAACACTTTTAATTAGGATAGTTTTTTTTCATAATGGAGTTGTAACTTCTGATATTTCTGCAGATAATACTGTTGTCTTTATGAGCTCAATCACAATGGCTTACTTTTCAATGTTTAGTGTAATGTTACTCATCAACTTTTCATGTGTCCAGAATTCAATTTGTCCATACTTGATATGCTGAAATGTTTTTCTATGGGCTCCCAATAGCATTTCACCAGAATGCTATCTCCTTAGCTCAGCAATTGTGATATACCCATTTCTAGAAGATTATTAAAAATATTGAGCTTAGTAAACAATGTATTGACTTAAATAATCAGTGGCTAAGAAACCCCGAGGGACTTCCTGGATCAGTAAATACTGTGAACTAGTAGGAATACATGTATTGAAAGAAACTCTGAAAAGCATTCTTATGAGTGTCAGAATAATGACGATGGCCAACACTGAAATTAGTCCCTCTCTTATTTTCATTTATATAGCTGCATGTAGAAGATAGAGAAACAAAGATAAATAGGACAACAGACATATATATTTATATACACATATGATCTGAAATACAGCAAAAAATACCTACCTAGAAGTAGGATCTACAAGATTTCTCAGCAGGTAAGGATTTACTACCACGGTCCTGAAAAACTTTGAAGCACATTCTTATTTTGAATCTTTACTGGTCTTGTGATTCAGCTGAGATCAACTAATTATTTGCTAAGCCAGACAGACCATGTGTGACAAGTGCCACTGCCATTTTCCAATTAAGAGCTTTTGTTTCTTTTTCCATTAAGAGCACAGAACTTCTCTTCCATTGGATTACCTCCATCATCTAATGTGTTCTTGCAATCCAGCCATTTCTTTACAAAATGAGCTTTCAAATATATTAGAAGTTTAATTAAAGTGCTTTACTTTGATGTTTACTGCTCTCAATTTCTCATGGGCAATTGCTAACGCCTTTTGAGGGTGTGATGCTTATTTATGGACAGGATGTTTGACACTGCTGTATCACTGCCCTTATTTACCACATAGAGAGACTCGGCCTTACTGTGAGGTAGTCAGAACTGGGAAGCTGTTGAAAATCTTCCATGCTTCTCCAAAGTGCAAAAAAAGTTGATGAACTTGGGCAAAGTTGGGCTCCATTTATGTGAGGAAATTAAATGCTACCAGAGAAGGTCCTTGGGCACAGGTACCTGATTATCTGTACTGTTATTGCTGTGAGGGCCTACGAACAGCACGCTTGTGACCCACAGCAAATAACAGCTTTCAGCCAGCTCCTGGACATGATTCAGGAGCTAGCAGCTCCCAAAGGGCAGTTTAGCCTCTTTTGGAGGCTAGGATTGTTTAACAGCACAGAAAGGGCTACTGTATGCCTGTATGTCTCAATGCCAGAGTGCAGACCAGGGTAAATTTAATTATCTCATGTGAGGAAGCCTTACCACACTACACATTACATGCGCCAGGAAAATCTAGAAAACGAGTTTGCCAGTGATACAGTGAGCTGAGTCAGTTGGTGATGGAGGAGGGGACTGCTCCCTTCACAAAAGGACCTGTATCAGGGCAGACGTCATTTCTTGAATCTTCCTTTTTATTATGTCCAAACATTTGTTCTAGAGATGAATCATCATCCTTACTGAGCTTTAGACAAGCTATAAACGTCTTCGTTTTACAGCTCCTGCAGTAAGAAAATATTAAGTAAATGGGCTTGTGGGAAAAATATCACAACAGATTAATGCCATTTTTCTGTTTCTTTTGTATGGCTAGCCATCTCTAGAAATTAAGAGAAAAGTAGCATGGGGTCCGTGATTCCCTATGCAATATTTTACATGATTATTAGTTCTTAAGGGCACTTTGATCTTTTGTAAATTATGTTTATAAGTGCTAGAAGTTTTCACTGCTTTTTCTTCTACCTCTAAGGAGTGCTCAAGGGATGGGTGAATTAACCCAAATTTTCTCTAAACTGTTAATGAGGCCTTAAAAAGTTCACCTGAAGTTTAATTTCTCTTCTGTTGGATTAGGTTGGAAGAAAGGAACTTTTACGTGGTCCTCCCTGCTAAGTGCTTTAACATGGCCAATACCTTCGCTGTATATTGATGAACAGTTTTGTGGTAAATAAAAGCTCCTCAAACACTGACCTGAAGCAAGGGCTCCATCTGTTTACATATATGAGAAAAATAATTTCTAAAATATGAAGGGATAGGATGTTATAAAATGAACAATTCAATGTGACTATTATGTGCTATGTATTGTCTACAGCCTACACAAAAGTGTATCTGCACGCTTGCAAGCATACATACAGTTGTTGGGTTTAGGAAAAGAACAGAGCAAAATGAAATTATATTCTGACAAAGATATTTGAAAATGATGTCTTGATTTTGGGAGTGTCCATCTGTGAATTTCGAAGTAAGGGTATTTATTCATGAGAGAGGATCTCAGCATTCAGTGGAGCTCTCAACCATCAGAAATAGCTCAATCTGGACAAAATACTAAAGCTACCAATTCTTTTCAGAACTTCAGCCGCCTTGTAATTTTTCCAGACAATAAAGCCTGTTGGCTTTATACTTTTTTATGCATTGTATCATAAAAGAACTCAGCTGCTACTGCATTGCAACCTGTTTCTGAGGGCTACTAGTGAAAGAATGGGGCTGCAACTGGACTCACCTGGTTTTATACTGGTGCAACCTGACCAATACCAGTAAGATCAGTGCAACCAGTAGCAGAAATTGAACCTTATTTGCCACTTTGAAGCAGTTATAAACCTTCCTTCCTCCTGGCAGCGAATATTCAAGTCTCTTTTAATAACACTCAGGAAAGCATATCTGAAATTCTTGCCTGCTTAATGTCAAAGCTGCATCTGCTCAGAGAGCTTTATCTATGGAAAAGTGAATAGGGATTCAGATAACCTCTGTGACAGGCCCTTCAACTCTGTGTAGGTTCACAGTGCTAGGAGGCTGGGAAGTTTGGATTAGACTAAATATAAACGTGTTGCTCAGTGCGCTCAGCAATTGATGTGGAGGGGTCAGACTCATGCCAGAATCACGAGTGGAAATCCCTGCTCTGCACAGGCTTTCTGTGGAGGCTGAAATCACTGAGACATCCAGCAGGAAGGCTCGCTGGGTGAGGATCTTGGCCCTCCCTTCCCAGTTGTAACACAGAATAATAATACTTAATTACTGAGTGGGAATAGTCCAAAAATGTCTATGTCAGCTTGGGAGCTGTGAATGCTTTGAGCCTCTGAACCAGCAGTGCAAGACTGCAGCAGCACCTACAGTGCGCAGAGATCAGGTTTACTGACATGGCCACTTCTGCTCTAACACACGTCCATTCTGTGAGCTGCTTAGAAGATGTAAAAATGTATTGGTTTCGACATTTGGAGTTTGATGTGTATTCAACAAATACTACAGTAATAAGGAAAATTAGCAACTACAGAACTAAGAATTCAAAAGTGAATCAGTGGAGACTCTGTATGAAAGATATGTCTTACCCTTTCCAGAATATAACACAAGGATAAAGGCTGTAAATCAGAAAAGAGTAAAGCATCACTTCTATATTTCTTTAGCCTTATGAAGAACACGGAGGAACAGATAATTTCACTTAAGGACAGATGCTGCTGTTTGGTCAGTGTGGTGCACAGTCCCTTCTGCCTGAGCTGAGGGCATTCCTTCAGACTCTCCATCAGGAGATCCTTTCATGCTCAGATGAAACCTCTTCTCACACATGAGGACTCATGTACTTGTGTCTATGAGTCCCACATCCACAGGCCAATAGGAGCCTTAGATTCAGAGGCATCTGGGTGCTTGTAGCAAAGCCCTTTTAAACAGGGATGTTACTCAGAGCAGGATTCTCCAAAGAAGGCAAGGATATGAAATGTGCATTGGTATACCGTAAAACTATGAGTCTGGGTGTCTCTCCTAAAACTGTTTCTTGAAATCTAACATGTCTCATTGTATCTGCATATTTCCAACAAATTTCTGCTAAGTCCTCCATCATTACAGCCTACTTTTGGGAGTATTTTTCTGCATTAAATAGATTTCATTTGATTAAAATCAGTATCTAAAAGTATACAAGAATTTCACTGCTGCTGTTTAAAATATCTGGGGAAAGTTTTTTTTGCATGGTGTTGGTTAAAAAATGGCTTAACTAGGAAGCATAATAGTCTTTTAAAATTATTTTTTAATTTGCAAACTAGGGAGAAGCCAAAAAAACATCTCAAGATATTCATAACGGAAAGTGACAAGGGGAACAATTTGTTCATAAATGAAAAGTAAGTCAGACTTCATATATCTTTCCAAAGAAAAACAAAATCACTTTCCTTGACATTAGCTTTAGCAGTGCAAGTGCTGAGGAATAAGAAATGGCCCTTTCCTTTCCTAGATCTCTGAGAAGTATACAAGATATTTTTTTCCCCCTAGTTTTTATCCTGGGGATTACATTAGCTAGTTCATGTCTTAGGGAAGGCTGGAATTCAAAGCTTGACCTGGATGTATCTGAGTTTTGACAAGAGTGAACACTTTACGTGAACATTCCTGAGTAGTTTGTCAGGCTGTTCATTCCTTGCTGTTCATGCTGCAATGAAAGAAAATAGCTCTGCTCTGTAATAGCAGGAATTATACAGTAGCCTTCAAGACTGGGGCTTTCTGCATATCCATAAAATGCAACATGGCTGTTTAGGTGCATATGTACATGGAGCCTGAAAATGCCTGAGAACATGGACAGCAATGTGGGATCCAGCTTGGCCATCTGCTTCTCTCCCACCAGCTCCAGCCCCAAGGGAGGGCTGCAGAGATAGAATGTGGATGTGTGGAAGAGATGGATTGCAGAGCAGATGGAGATGCACCCATCTGAGTCTGCCTTGTTTGAGAGAAAGGAACATGGGTTAGTGGGTTAGTTATAATCTCAGTGGTCTTTTCCAACCTTAATTATTCTATGGTTCTATAACTCTATGAAAGGAAGCACAGTCACAGAGACCTTGGGACATCCCTGACAACTCCTAATTATCCCTTGTTGTCCTTCTGGCAAGCAATTGGCATGTTTCAGATTTCCTTTGTCTTTGCAGCTGATTTAATCACAGCAACTCCTAAACCTGCTGTTTGGCTGCAGCCTTTGAGGTGAATCTGGGAACACAAAAATCACTGCAAGACAAAACAAATTTCATTTTGTGCCTTGGGAAGCAAAACTGGCAGAGCTGCTAGTCACTGAGTTATTATGGCCTCTGTTATGAACTGGGAGCATGGAAAGGGCAGCTGGAGCATGGGAGGGGAAACATTGCCAACTGCCTCCTCTGGCTGCTGTGGGAGGCAGGCAAACGCTGAAATGAACAACTGCAAAAAGGATGGAGAAGATGAGAAAGTGGCAAAATTCTGAATAGTAAACAGCGTGTAAGGAGAAGCACTACATTCACCTACAGACTGTCTGAAGGACAGGGCCACAGAGATGATGGCTGGAGCATCTCCTGTATGAGGAAGTCTGAGAGGGGATCTTATCAATGCTTATCTAATGAGTGGGAGTCAAGTAGATGGGCCAGGCTCTTTTCAGCAGTAGCCAGTGACAGGAAAAGGGACAACGGGCACAAACTGGAACACAGGAAGTTTCATATAAAATTCTTTACTTTGATGGAGACATGGAATAGGCTGCCTGGAGATGTTGTGGAGTCTTCTCTCTGGAGCTATTTCAAACCTCACCTGGATGCTTTCCTGTGCAAGCTACTGTGGGGAGCCTTCTTTAACAGGTAGCTGGACAGGATGGTCTCCAGAGGTCCTTTTCAACCCCTAGGATTCTGCGATTCTATGATGATCTGGCTAACACAAACCGTGAGATGCTAAGCCTTACCTTTAAGTTATTATCTATATATTGTAATCAAAATAATATATAAGCAATATTATAATAAGATAAATATTTAAGTTCAGGAAAAAAAAAAAACCCAAAAAACTATGAACAGACCCACAGCCCATGCAAAAAGTTCCTTCTGTTAGGAGTTGAACTCAGTGATCCTTATCGAATTCAGTATATTCTGTAATTCTATAATTCCCTGATTAGTGGAATTTTACCTGAGCTGAGATGCTCTCATCTAAGATAAACGTCCAGTGCTAGGAAAAAGATCAAGTGCTGAAGCTCTGCAGGTTCAGAAGTAGAAGTGTTGAGTGCTCAGTTCTACTCTTCTTACATTTTTTTCCTTTCCTCCTCCCTCGAGTTGTTCTTGGTATAAAGCAAGACAGTGGCCAATCTTTTTTCAGTTGATTGTTGGGTGATAGGGACCCTACAGATAGAAGAGCTATCACAAGGTTTAACCTATTTGCCCACTGCAGGTATTTTTTTTTCAGTTGCTGCCAGTGAATTTCAATGAACATTACTTATTTCTCATGACAGAAATGATTTATTGCTCAGTTATTCTTATGCAAATTCAAAGATATGAGAGATAGATTACTACTCAGGGACAACCTGATCTCTTCATGCAGGAGGCTGTTTTGCTTCATACAAAAAGATCTGAGGAGGGAAGAAACTGGCTGCTGGCCTCATTTGTGATAAAAGGGTGGCGTATGCCTCCTCATTAAGTCTAGCATGGCACTCTTACTCAGAGACTTGGGCTGACAGAACTTTGGCTAAAATAAATCAGGGAGCAATGATTTAGCATGTCGGAAGACTTTGCCCTTGCTTACAAAGTGCTCAGGAGAAGAGGGTTTATTTTTGGCAGAGCCCTGTTCTCTGGTTCAAATGTGCAGGCACAAAAAAAGCATGGGAGAACTTTCAAGTTTTGAAACTCACTCCATATTATTAGTGAAACTGCAAAAAATGTAAACACAGACTGATTTAAGTCTGTCTTGATAGCTCCTCTCTGCCCATTGCACAAAACAACTCTCATGTTGCATAACCTGTCTGCAGCAAAGATTAGGGCAGCTGTAATGGCTGATATCCTTCATCATTTCCAGTCAGGAGATGAGCTTTAAGATGAATCAAAGCACTCAGCAAAGAACAAGTAGCACCTTTGCTGCTTTCCCAACTGGGCTGAAGTGTTACGTGGTCTGCTAGCAAGAAGTTTATTCCTGCAGCCTAAGGAGGAAAAATTGTCCTGGCAAAGCATAATACTCGTAAAGCAGGACTTTATTTCTCACAATCTGAGGACACATATGAATCAGATGGATCAAACCTTCCTCATAGCTAAAAGATGAAATTGTTGCCTTACATTAGATGCACAGTTGCTTTTAATGTTTCTTTTTACTGACTGTTCATTCAGCAAGTAAGAGTAGAAGAGCCTGAGATTACATGACCCTAAATTTGCACAGGGGAGGCAGAAATTGGTTTGGAGAGAGCAGGCAGAATCTCTGCACGTGAAACTCATGCAAACATCTTCAAGGATGATGCTGCTACCTGGAGGTTTTGTTCTGCTCTTGCCATGTGGGACAAAAGACTATCAATGTTATGACAAGGCTCGATTCTGATGTTTAAAGAGCCACAAAGTAACACGATGGTGAAATTATTCTACATATTTGGGGCAGCAGGATGGCTGCCTTATCATGCCTCCAGTGGAAGAGAGCAAAAGCATTAGAAAGTTGAAATGTACAGAGTACAGTTTGCAAACTGTGCACATATCAAAAGGCACAATGACATCTAAATAAGGAGAAAAAAGAAAAGAATAGTACATAACCTCATTTTAAGAGCTACAGTATGTGTAAATTTGGCTCAACTTGAACAATGACATTTTTTTTTAATTGACTAGGAATAACCCTTATTCACTTTTTGGAAAAGGAAGCAGGTAAAAGTACCTTTCTAAACTAGTAGTTGTTCAAATATAAATTTCCTGTTTATTGAGATTTCAGCTATACCAAAGTAAAGGTCTCAGAGAGGCTGAGCAAGTCAATCATTATATACCTTGTTAGTATGACAGCCCCCTATGTATTGTTTGACTGGAAATAAAACACAAATACCCCAAATCCCTGCTGTTTCTGCTTCATGGTGCATAAATTTACTGCATGTCACGCCACTTAGAGTTTTGATAGCAGACTACTAACTGGCAGAGCAAAATACACAATCAAACCTTCATTTTCATAAATGAAATAAAAATACACATAGGAAATACAGAAGTGTTTTCATTAGTGATATTTCAAGGGCCAATCACTCAAGTTGGAGACTTTTGCAAGTCATGCTCAACATTTGATTACATATGCAAATGAGTGGATTTTCCAAGTATATGTTATTTTCTACTCTAATTTTAATGATATCCAAGATAATTTTTGTAATAATAAACCCAGCCCAAATTATTCTTGGAGGCATTATGTCCTGTACCTTGTTGGACTGAGAAGGGTGGAGCTTTTGGCCTCTGCCAGCACTGTTACCAGCTGCTGGTGTGCTCCATGGGCTTCCCTTCACAGAAGCAACATTGGATATATACTTCGATATATTAAGACACCAAAATATGTGGCCTCCTATCTCAGCAGCAGACTCAGAATAGATGCTAAAATGAAGTTTAGCTGAGCTGCTTTCTTCAAGCCCTGTGTTTTCCTTTGCCTACCTATTTGCACTGAGGAAACACTGAGAAATCATTGGCAATTTTTTGGGGAGCAGTGAACAGTACAAAAAGGAAAAGAAGGATCTTAACTAAACCTCCTGCTTGAAACTGGCATGTACACCGTGTTAGGCCAGCTGGCAGTTTCGGTAAAAAGAGTAAACAAAGAAGTATCCTAAAGATAACAGTTTCCTATTCCTCACATTCATCACTTCTGGAAATAAGAAACAAAACTGATGACTTTCAGAATTAGATTTCGCAGTTAGATTTTAAGGAAAAGAGAAAACCAGTACTAAGTAGAAAAAATTGGCTAGTATTTTTTGGGTTAAGTTGGATTTTGTCAATGTTATCACTCTCGTTTCCACTGCTACTTACTTTCCTTCTGAAAATTCAGACATCTGTTTGCTTTGTTTCACTGAGCCCAGGAGGTTCCATGATTGAAATCATATCTGGCTTATGAAAGCTGGTCCCCAAAGCGGCTTTTCTGCAACACAAACCAAAACAAAGGAAGAAGAAATAACTAAAGCAAAGAGATAGTGTGTAGGATCCAGTCTGCTGAACCTGAGCACTGAGCTGGTGCTGAAATGCTGTGTGCACTCTAGGCAGTTCTAGAGCACTTGCCAAGTTTCCTGTCTTGTCTGTGGCAAGAATTGATGTGAAGGTTTCCAATGGGAGCTCCTGTCTCTGCACAAGAGATCATCTACATCAGTAGATGCTGTTTGCCCTTCACAAACTTCTCTCTCATTACAAGAAAATCAACCCTATGAAAAAAATGTATAAAAGCAAGTGGGGTGAGAATAAACAAGGAGCCGTATGAGTGTTCATCAATTGTACTAAATGATGGGTGACCTGTTGTTGCTCTTTCAGCTCTAGCTCCCAGGAATTTACAGGAAGGACTTTCCCTGTTGTCAGCAGCTCTGAGGCTGGGCTGTCTGTGCTTGTGATGGAGCTTTCCCTTCTAGCAGTACCTCCGTACCTCCAGCATCTCCCTTCTCCAGGCTAAATGAGCTCAGGCTTTCTCAAAAGTCAAATTCTTAGAAACAATCACATTGTAACTAAGCAGTCAAATGAAAAAGAACATCTTCAATTTCTTTCAAAGTGTTCGAATGAATTTACTTTACTTTAATCAACCTTAATTACATCTGTGGCTCTTTTTTTTTTTTTTTTTTACCAACCGTCAGAATGTAAAATAAGCAAATGGATATGGTAAGTTCCAAATGACTTAGAATTGTTGAATCTAAGCCTTTCCTGGGAACTTGCTGCTTTGTCTTACTTCTTATATAGAAAAGTGAGCCTCAGATATGAACTCACAAAAAATTTAGATCAATAATATGCAACTCCATGTCTGCTACATCTCAGGAGGGTGGCATAATCATCCATCTCAAGAAAGCGAACAGCAGATGGTACAATGCAGATTTGTATGTTTGCACCACTTATTAGTTTATAGAATTAAGAAAGAAGATTTGAAACATTTTGAAAAATATTTTCTCTAGATGTGATAACAAAGTGGTTCTTGTTGCATCTTCTGTTACACATAGACCTCTCTTCAAAGAATTGTGCTGCATAAGTTATTTTCTGAGATAGAATCATAGAATCACCGAATCATTAAGGTTGGAAAAGACCACTAAGATCATTTAGTCCAACAACCCACTTAACCTAAATTTCCCCTGGTATAACTTGAGGCCTTTCCCTCTTGTCCTATCTCTAGTTACTTGAGAGAGGAGATCGATGCTATAATCTCCTTTCAGGTCATTGTAAAGAGTGATAAGTTCTCCCCTGAACCTCCTCTTCTCCAGACTGAACAATCCCAGTTCCCTCAGCCTCTCCCCATAAGACTTGTGCTCCAGACCCTTCACAGCTTCATGGACCTTCTCTGGACATGCTCCAGGGCCTCAGGGCATTGTTCTTGTAGTGAGAGGCACAAAACTGAACACAGTACTTGAGATGTGGCCTCAACAGCAACAAATGCAGGGGGATGATCACCTCCCTGCTCCTGCTGGCAGTACTATTTCTGATACAAGACAGGATGCCATTGGCCTTCTTGGCCAACTGAGCACACTGCTGGCTCACAATCAGCCAAATATCGACCAGCTTCTCCAGGTCCATTTCTTTCATGCAGTCTTCCAGCTACACTGCCCTGGTCCTGTAGATTTTGGTTTTCAGTATTAGAGAGCAATGACTCTTTATTCATATGTAGAGATCTAATTCTCCCTGTCATGATTAATAATTCTGTCTGCATGTAGTACTAGTGCTTGCTATGAAATGGAGAAAGAATTGCAAAATTATAAATTAATACTATATGTACTTAATCACTTAGTAACAGAAGATATGCAAAAGATCTTCCAGTAAAATATTTGACAGTGCTGTTTGCTATCTACTTTGCAGAAAGAGTCAGATCATAAGAGCTACTTTAGGAACACTGGTGTTGCTGACAGAAGGTCCCAAAAGAGGGAGTTTGAGTTTCCAGCTATTTGTTCTTGCCTCTATTTTTTTTTTTTTTTTTTCTGTGCACATTTTTTTTTCCCATTTGAAAGCAAAAGAAAAGGATAACAAAATGTTTGTCTTTTTGACTACACTGATGCATTTGACTCCATTTTACTTAAGAAGACGTATTACAATTTCATTTAGTATGTATGTATGTATTCTTAAATAGAAAAAAAGGGGATCTATGATAAATATCAGATTGGAAGCTCTGGGAACTGAAGGCTCGTACTCATTCAGTCAAGTAAACATGAGTTATTACTGTGTGGTTCTCCCTCCCTCTACCCAATTAAGATGTTCCACATCTTTACTTGAGAAATCCATACAGGCTCGGATTTGTGCTAGGTTGGTGCAGCCCAAAATGGCCACCAGTGTTTTGTGGATGAGGAGATATGGAAATCTGTCCGGGAGGAAATAATCTGAGGCAATTTGGCTGGGAAGAACTTGGATTCAGTGCTACTGCATACCCTGAGCTTCTCAGGACATGCAGGGGCTTATATTTCAATAGAGATCCAAAGCCACCCGCAATGAATACTTTCAAAATCCTCCTCCCTTACCCCTCACCAGGACATGCCACATGAAGGTGCTTAGCTTCACTTATGCAGGAATGTTAAAAACTTAAGCATTGCAAATTAGGATGTCTGATTTCAATTCAACATACATATTTTTCAAGATTATCAGTCCTCTAGAGCTTAATCTTGAGCAAACCTATTGACTTCAATAAAGCAGCACTGACCAGAATAGAATCTGACATTAGTATTTTTGATTTTCTAAGATTTTCCTTAAAGAGAAAAAAAAGACGAGAAATTTGAAACACTGAAGCACTCCTATCTTATTTTAGTTGCTATAAATAAGAAATTATATTCTAAACTTAGTTTCAGTTGGTTAAGTAATGGCAGGGAACCATCAACACTTTTGTTCTCAAAGTAACCAGTGATAATTTACAGCTACAGTGAACAATCAATATTCAGGAAGTGACTTCATTTTGCGTAAATTGAAATCTTTGACTTGCTAAGGACTGATAACTTGATCTGAAATAGACTAGAAGGGGTAGTCCAAATTTGTTACTTAAAAGCAGTAAATATAGGGTTAAGTTAGTTCACATGGACAGACCACTCTTTTCTAACACATTTATAAATGACCTGTCTGAACAACTTACGTGCCATTTGTAGCACACAGTTCATACATATAGCATACAATCACCCATGATTAACAGTGTTTCAGGCATCTTGCATCTCACAAACACCAGGTGTTAGGAGTCCTCACAAACTGGATTTCTTCTCTTAAAAGTTTCCACTGTCAGATCACTTATGACTTCGCCCATTTTCAGCTGGTATTTTGTCAGCTGGATATCTATTTTGGGATGAACGTTTAAAGAAAATGCCACATAATATTGGATTTGAAAATGTAAGTTGTTTCCACTCATTAGAAAAGCTTGGGAACGTATAAATACATTTCTAAATTTAGTTGTTCCGGTACCTCTCCCAGCATGTGTTTCACTGTAATCCTCACTGGGAATATTACAAAGAGGCATTTCATGATAACTTCTTGGAAATTCTCTAAACATATGTGAACAGAGAGTTCCTGCTCAAATCATTTCAAGATTTGTGAACTGAACTTCCTAAATTCCCAAAGGTAAGTTTGTTGAAAAAAAATAAATGTCCATCACTTGTCTTTTCAAGCACAAGGCAGTAAGAACTGGGTGGTGGATATATTACTTGCCGGTAGGACAGAAGACATTGGTCTTGCAGATCTACAGTCCTCCAGTAACAAAGACTCACTCCCTACAGATGTCTTGCACTGGTTTGGATGTAGATTTGTGCATCCAGAAACAAACTCCTAGCAAGATTTTCCTATCTGTGGGGTTAGAGTTCATCAGTTCACAGCTGCAAACTGGAGAAGAGGCTTAGTATTAAGAAAGCCCATCACTGTGAAGAGGCATAAACTCACCCCATATAGTTTTATAACGCTTCTCTGCTTTTTCTTTTTCTTTTTTTTTTTTTTCCCCACTTGGCACATGATTTGTAATGTATTGGATTAGAAAATGTATCTTAAACTGACAGAGCAGTTCCTTGAAAATCCACACTGATAAACTAGCATTTTCTGGGCCTCTGGCGCAGGCATAAAGTCTCCTAATTTTAGCTGAGATTCAGTGTTTCATGGCTTCAGAGACCTATTCTTTGTTTCTTTGTAACTGACTGAAAGAAAAAAAGAATTGCAGCCTCCCAGAAAAAAAAACAAGAAAAGAAAGCATCATATGGATCTTGTCATGCACTTCATTCCCTTAGGTAGGGTCTTACTGTGTCAGAGTCTCTGGTTTAATAATAATACTGCAATCTTATTCTGTATGTTTTCTGGCTTGACAGGGCCTTTGCTGATTAATGTTGTCAGAGAGAGATGTGCTGAAAAACACCTTCTAATGCATTACATGGAAGGCTCAGTCTAACAGATGTACAAGTTCAGTTTATTGTCATGTTCTTTTACCAGGAAAAGTCAAGACTTTGGGCTAAATCAATGATGTAATTTGTTTAATGCGGAGTTTGATTTTGCTCAAGTCAGACCTTGCCAGTCTTCTCTTTTTCTGATGCATGCTAATAAGTTTCTTTTGTTTCTTTTTAAGTTTCTGATTTCCTTTTTTTTTTTTTTTCTTTCTTTCTTTTTTTTTTTTTTTTCTAGATTTGCTGCTCCTGCTGTGAGTGAGTTTCTTGAAAGATATTTATGCATAAAGTAAATTCTTTCCTGTCTGGTCTGAATGAAAATATCTTGCAGTTTCTCCTGACTTTTTCAGAAGTATTTTGATCTTAATATTTCATGTACAACAGAAGTTTCGCAACTATCAAGCAGGTGAATTTGCTTTGATGAAATCAAATCTTTTGTTATGAGATATGGAAATACTCTGCTGCCGTTGTGAAAAATATAAAGACACTTAGAGTTAGAGCAGGAATAAAATCTGCAAAAGATCTGAAGAGAGCATTACATCCTTGCATAACAGAATTTTATTTGGAAATACTGATTGCAATATTGAAAGGTCCTAATCTTGAATATGGACAACAAATGTGTCAGTAGTAATTTGCACTGAATTCCTAATTATTAAGAAATCATGTATATGTGGTTTTCCACAAATTGCGTATTTTGCACACACGTTTTCCTTTGTGGAACTACTGCATGTTTATCCCTGTGCTGTTTACAACCGATCAGAAATGCTGCTTCCTGAAGGAAGGTGTGGCCCATGAAAGGTCCCATGCTGCAGCAGGCACCAGCAGGAGGAGGAAAATTGGAGAGAGACCATTGGAAACTGATCACCAACCCCATTCCGCACACCTGTGTCCCACTGAGGAGATGGAAGAGTCAGGAGTGAAGGAGCTTTTCCTTCTTTTCCTCTCCCAGTGTCCTGTTGAGGAGGGAGAGAGGGTAAGCAGCTGGATGGGTATTTGGCTGCTGTATAAATTTAGCCCACTACATCTAAACATGTATTATGCAGAATTTGTTTGAATTGACCTCTATTTACTTTATTTTTCCTGCTTAGGTGTTGAAGCTCAAAGCATTACTTTTTGGCAAAGCTGAATTGAGAATGTATTTCTCTCCTCTGTGTCTAGCTATCATTCTGAGAAGAACTTATCACTTAAATATCAATTAAGATATAGGAATAGAAAACAGAAGGAACACTAAAAAAGATAAGTCTTGTCTCCAAATCTGGAGAGGCATACTGTAGGCTTAATAGAATAATGATGTAGCTGTAAACAGGTGATCATGTAGGTCAAATTAATCTCTGAGCTACATGAGTTTTAATGAGAGAAGTCTGCTTTCCCCAGTGCTCAGCTCTCTGAAGAACCTGCACTAGCTCACAATTGCTGTTTGTTGGCTTTGCTGGTTGGCAAAGCACCGCGGTCAGTGCCTGAATGGACACTCTCCATATGAGCATCATGGCACATCAACCATATCTGTGGGAGTTTGTTTTCCTGGGGCTTGAGAAGAGCTGAGACCTCACCTTTCACTGCAGGCAATATTTGTTGGAATGCAATTCTTTGCATAGTCTTGCACTACTATCTGCATGAAATGGATCCTCATTTCTGCTTTCTCAGTGTCTTCAGAAGTGTTTGATGGATCCCTCTCCTGCAGCTCATGGCAGAAACAACTTCACATACCTCGGAAGTTTTGCCTGAACAGCTCATCAGCTATGCTGAATTCATCAGGGAGTATGGAACAACCTGTGTGCATGCATAGAGAGAAGTAGTGCTGAAAACTGTTTGTCTGAGTGAATAATCTGGAGTTTTCCCTTTGGCTGGTTCTAGCCTGGTCCTGTGGATGGAAGACATTAGATGTTCTCCCAGAGGGCATCCTGGGGCTGCTTTCAGCAGCACGCGCCCTGCTGCTGTGCGTGTTCTGCTCCTGCGTCACTGCATGGAGAATAAGGACAGCTGAGTTGTTCCTGGCTTGGACTAACACACTAATGCAAATGCACCACAGGCTGTACGTGAGCAACTCTTCTGAGTTGCCAGAAGAGCTTTTGGTTTTGCCATGTATGCAGCTATGACTCAGTTGAAAGAGTTTTGTTTTTTGTGTCCTACTTTTATATTTTTAATACCCATCCTCACAGACAAGAAGGCTGTATTTATTTGACTCTCAGAGGTGATCAAGACTGAAAAGGAAAGCACATGCTGTTTTAATTCTTTCTCCCCTTTTAAAGCCTGAAAATGTTTGTGTATAATCAATGGATATCAAGATGTTACAATCACAATATAATCAAGAGAGTTAGACTAAGTGGACAATGATAACAAAGGAGAATAAAATAGAAGGCTTACCCTTTGGATGGGCTCACCACAAAACACCAATAGAGGCAATCTCCAGAAGAGATCCTTCCCCTCTGGTAGCCAGCTCTTAAATAGGTCTAGGAGGGGTGGAGCCAGGCTCCACCCCTTCCGGCAGCACAGGTGAATTGCCTTCACCTGTGCTCCTCTGGCTGGCTCATGGCTCGCCTCAGGTGATCAATCAGAGGTTCAGGCTGTGACTCAGTAGTTCCCATACAGTTTGCTTGTTCTGTGGGGAAGGAAACAAGAGCTTTGTAACAACTAGATAAAAGTTAGCAGAAACTGTCATGAGAAGTGATTTGTTCTACTGTCTAAGTTCCCTTTATAAGGGGAACTTTATAAAGGGTGGTGAGGTGCTGGCACAGCTGCCTAGAGAAGCTGTGGTGCCCCATCCCTCAAGGCCAAGTTGGATGGGGCCCTGTGCAGCTGAGCTGCTGGGTGGCAGCCCTGCCCAATGCAGGGGGGTGGGAGTGGGTGGGCTTGGAGGTCCCTTCCAAACTAAGCTATTCTATGATTCTGTGAGTAAAGCGTCCTCTTTCAAAGCATTTAATGTGATCTGGACAATTAGAAAATCACCACAGGTTAGTGTTATGGTTTCTATCAGTCGAAAATGTGGTACATGGAAAAAATGATAGGGATTTCCTACCATTTTACAGATTTACTCAGTACTTCTGTATATTGAAGAAATGCTTCCTTAAGAAATTTTTCTTTAGAGATTTCACTGCTTTTGCCTAATTTTCTCTGTGTAAACTCAATCAAGAGTCACAGAAGAACCTTCATAAAAGCATGCTTGTGTTTTTCTGTCTTATGTCCTGGACATACCCCCATAAACCACAAACCATATAGCATATTTGGAAGTAGGGTCAGTGGTGTTTTGTCAGCACCATAGGGCTCTGCCATCAATCAGAAAACCTTGTTGTAAGAAGAGTTTGCAGGAATCCAATGCATCCCCTCAGCCTGCTGTGCTGGGTGTCCGTCACATGGCACACTATTGGCAAGATGTTGACACTGTCATTTCTCACAAAGTTGTAAGTGAGCTACGAGCCAAAAGCAGATAAAGAGACAAATTAGCTCATGCAGCAAATAGCAGTATGCCCATGATCATCCTTCCCTGCCTAGATAGTGGAAAGACTGGAGCAATACTTCCAAAAAACTACTCATTATTATTTAAATTTCTCAACACGGCAGTTTTGAAGTGTGGTTGCATAATATTTGTGCAATGTTGTATTAAGAGAAGTGCTTATCACAGACCTGAGACCTCAATTTGGAAAAATAATGGTATCACATGTTTGATTAATGCTCTTCTCCAACACTGATCAACGGCAGTGTAGTGGGAGAAGCGTGGGTTTCCTCAATCTGCCAACAAGAAGGTCTTTCAAGCACGCCAAGAAAACTGCTACTGTTTGTGCCCAGTCCCTAGTCCTGCAAGCTGTTCTGTGCGGGTGGACCTCAGCAGTTTGCAGAGTCCTGGTGAATTTGTTGACTACAAAATGGAGAATTCCATGGCCCAAATGCAGTAAATCCCTTCTCCTCGGAAAATGGGATTCAGATTCCTCTGAAGGACAACTCAGCCTACTTGTATGCAAATTGAGTCGTTGCTAAAAAGGTTGGATTTGGTGCTCCTTAAAAAAGGCACAGCTAGAATATGTATTTTACACACATTTACTTCGCAAGCTGAAATTCAAAGAAAGATGTGATGGAAGGATGAATTTCAAAGCAGATTTTGCCATGTCAGAACCATATAATATGTGTGTCCTGCTTGATAGCCAAAGCTTAAATTGTCAGGGTGAGAAGAGCTCAGGATATCTTCTCAGTTACATAACATAGCTTTTATTTGTAGGAGCAGCATAAGTTGAATGGCTGAGGAGCCAAAGCTATGGGTCAGGGGCAATGTGTGCTGCTAAGCACTGTTGGGGCACAGAAAGGGTAATTAAAAGCTGTGTTGAAGCTGGACCACAAAAGAGGCCATGAAAGACGGACATAGTTTGGCATTTGTATGTGTGCTGGTGTCTGACATTCCTAGGCTCTGGGTGGCTTGGCAAGATCAAGAGCAAAGTGAAAACTCTGAGGGTGCTCATTTGAATTGGACAAGAATCAGGGGAATAGAGGCATGGCCATTTCCACCTTTCTTTCTCTTCTTAGTGGAAAATGGGATTGGACTGGTCAGTGTGTGAAAAGAGAGATGGAAACCTTCCTTTCCATTGAGAGGGACCTGATTGAAACCTTTTGGTTCAGGGCTTGCATGAGGCTGAGCTTTGCAGTCCTGAGCACCAAGGGAAGCTCTAAAACCTGTATATACTCCTAGGGTCCTCCAGAAACCATGTGGACAGTGCATTTTAGAGGTTGTACCTAAGTCTGTTATGAAGAACCATTATCCGTATTTCCTTGTGTAAAAGATGTATAGAACATCCAGTAGAATAACTGCATTAAACTACTCCAAATTTATTGTATTACAGACTTCCCTATTCTAATATGAATTAGATGCTTTAACTTCTGTTTTCATTCATATTACCAGGTGTATCAAATTCACTGTTCTATTAAACAGACACTATAAATAGTGAATATAAAGTAATATCTCCAAAAGTACATATTTTTTAAAGGTAAGATTTAAGAAAAAATGAGAAAAGAAGTATTTCAAGTATTGAAGAAAAGGGAAGGTGGAATATTTTGTTTGCAAACATCTGTATATTTTTTTTCCTTATTTGCCACACAAGTGTTACAGGAAAATGTGAAAAATAACAATCACCATAAATATACTACAGACAACACAAATACACTACAAATGGTTGTGAAAGCAATGATTTTTTGTTTCTTCAAGTCAGGACTGGAAAAATATGCATTAAAACATGGGTTATTTACAGTGCTCTAAAATGATTTTTCCCCAGATTTTTAAAAAGTTTTTGATACATTTCCCATTTGAACTCATCACATTCAATTATTAAAATGTTTTTTAAGTTCTGTTAATATAAACATACCAGTTCCTATGCTGTAAATTAAATTCTTATTTTATTTCTATGTATGCGTTGTCTTTTACTGTAATGCCAAAGGTTGCTCTCGTCTAATGGCTATAATGAAAGCTTTTACTGCTAAATTAAAATAAAATGAGTTAATGGGTACCTAGTGCCTTGTTCTAGTTAAAATGTGCATCAATTTGCAATGACCATTGCTTTGGGATTATAGTAAGTGTTTTATCTTAGACAAAATGTAACGAACGGTGTGAAATCTTGCTTTTGAAGTACTTAATCTGCTCTTCTGCAAATCTATTTCTGGTTTATTTCATTTTCTAATACCTTTTCTGCCCTTTAACAAGTAATGTTGAAATTTTCCATGGTAGGTGATTGCTTCAGATTGATTCTTTTATAGTGTTGTTGAAAATAGTTCAGACATTGAGAAAATGAGGGTAAGAAAAAATGGGTATATATATACATGCATATTCATTTTCTTTTTTATGATGTGAAACAGCAATAGATTTTTCCAAGACTACGTTAAAGATCAAGAAATATCTATCACTATTTGCAAGTAAAATATTACACTTTCAGAATTTTACTTTTGCAAGAATTGTGTGTGGATAGCTTTTCTGTCATGCACTGAAAATTGGAGTTTTTGATAAGAGTTTTTGATAAGTTTTGATGAGTTTTGATAAGTGTTTGATAAGAGTTTTGTGTGTCTTGGTAACCCTGTCTTTGGGAAAAAAATACAGCAGGCACTGTGCACCCCTGCACTAAACTCAAGACATACAAATATTTGCAAATGTACAAATGGACTCAGACAGTGATTTGTACTTGTGACCCACAAAAGCAGAGGTCCGTTTTGAAGCCTTGCAGCTTCACTACCAAAACCAAATATGATGCTCTTACAGCTATAGACACCTGTGACACCCAGGACCAAGACCCACAGGAAGAAACCATACTGCAGGGAATATCGTAAAAAGAAACACTGTGGACTTGTAGTGGGTGACTCTCTATTAAAAGGCACTGAGGTGCCCCTCTGCCAGAGTCTCAAGAGGTTTGATGCCTCCTGGGGGACAAGACCTGAGACTTTGCCAGGGGAGAGCCCCTGAGAGTTTGTCAAGAGCACAGACTGCTATCCACTATTGTTCTTCCACAGGGGCATGAACAGTGGAAGCTGGAACACTGTCAGAATGAAAAAAAAGCCCTGGAAGTGCAACTGAAGAACTGAGTGATCTTCTCTTCAATTTTGACAGCTGGAGGAAAGAGAGAAGATACATAATGCATACGAGTTCCTGGCTGTGTGGCTGGTGCCAGCACAAGGGTTTGGTTTTTATGACAATGGGACTTTCTGTGAAAATATAACCTGTTGAGGAGGGATGGGATCCACCAATCTAGAACAAGCAAGGCAATCTTTGGAAGCAGACTGGACAAACTAGTGAGGTGGGCTTTCAACTGAAAGTCTTGAGGGTGAGGTCCAAAATGGCAGTGCTCATGCCATTACAACTGACTGGGAAAGAAGGCAGGCCAACCAGAACAGTGACAAATATTCTTTAACTCCTTCCTGAGACGTGAGCCAGAAGGTCAGCCACTGCAAAAGTGTGTATAGATATGGAAGATCCTCCTGAATCCCTCTAGAGAAACCTGCATCCTCTGCTCCCTTTTCTTCTCTGAAGTGCCTATATACCAATGCATGCAGCATGAGGAATAAACAGGAAGAATTAGAGAACTTTATGGTTGCAGGGCCATGACCTCACTATGACCATGGAGACATGGTGGGACAACTTACATGACTGGAATGCTGTCACGGATAGCTATGTCAGTTTTAAGAAAGAGAAACCAGCAAGGTGAGGTGATGGAGTTGCACTTAATGTGAGAGAGCAAAGGGAATGTGTTGAGCTCTGCCTAGGGATGAATGATGAACGAGTGAGAATTAAGGGGCAGGCTAGTATGGGTGACACCACTGTGAGCGTTTACTATAGGACACCTGATCAGGACATGGAAGTTGATTAGGTTTTCTATCAACAGCTGAAAATAGCTTCACAGTCACAGGAACTGGTTGTGACAGAAATCTTCACAACTCTG